TTGCTGTCAGGAGCGTGTACCCTTGTTCCAATCTGACACCTGGTGTTGGTGTCAGGAGTGTGTACCTTTGTTCAACTCTGACACCTGGTGTTGAGGTCAGGAGTGTGTACCCTTGTTTCACTCTGACACCTGGTGTTGAGGTCAGGAATAAGTACCCTTGCTCCATTCTAACACCTGGTGTTGAGGTCAGGAGTGTGTACGCTTGCTCCACTCTGACACCTGATGTTGGTGTCAGGATTGTGATCCCTTGTTTCACTCTGATACCTGGTGTTGAGGTCAGGAGCGTGTACCCTTGTTTCACTCTGAAACCTGGTGTTGAGGTCAGGAGTGTGTACCCTTGTTTCACTCTGACACCTGGTGTTGAGGTCAGGAGTGTGTACCCTTGTTCCCTTCAAACACCTGGTGTTGGTGTCGGGAGTGTGTTCCCTTGTTTCACTCTGATACCTGGTGTTGAGGTCAGGATCGTGTTCCCTTGTTTCACTCTGATACCTGGTGTTGAGGTCAGGAGTGTGTATCCTTATTCCACTCAGACACCTGGTGTTGAGGTCAGGAGTGTGTACCCTTGTTGCACTATGACACCTGGTGTTGGTGTCAGGAGTGTGTACCCTTGTTGCACTATGACACTTGGTGTTGGTATCAGGAGTGTGTACCCTTGCTCCATTCTGACACCTGGTGTTGCTGTCAGGAGCGTGTACCCTTGTTCCAATCTGACACCTGGTGGTGGTGTCAGGAGTGTGTACCTTTGTTCCATTCTAACACCTGGTGTTGGTGAAAGGAGTGTGTTCCCTTGTTTCACTCTGATACCTGGTGTTGAGGTCAGGATCGTGTTCCCTTGTTTCACTCTGATACCTGGTGTTGAGGTCAGGAGTATGTATCCTTATTCCACTCAGACACCTGGTGTTGAGGTCAGGAGTGTGTACCATTGTTCCACTCTGAAACCTGGTGTTGGTGTCAGGAGTGTGTACCCTTGTTGCACTATGACACCTGGTGTTGAGGTCAGGAGTGTGTACCCTTGCTCCATTCTGACACCTGGTGTTGCTGTCAGGAGCGTGTACCCTTGTTCCAATCTGACACCTGGTGTTGGTGTCAGGAGTGTGTACCTTTGTTCCATTCTGACACCTGGTGTTGGTGTCAGGAACGTGTACCTTTGTTCCACTCTGACACCTGGTGTTAAGGTCAGGAGTGTGTACCCTTGCTCCACTTTGACACCTGATGTTGGTGTCAGGAGTGTGTATACCCTTGCTCCATTCTGACACCTGGTGTTGAGGTCAGGAGTGTGTACCCTTGCTCCACTCTGACACCTAGTGTTGAGGTCAGGAGTGTGTACCCTTGTTTCACTCTGAAACCTTGTGTTGAGGTCAGGAGTGTGTATCCTTGCTCCACTCTGACACCTGGTGTTGAGGTCAGGAGTGTGTACCCTTGCTCCACTCTGACACCTGGTGTTGAGGTCAGGAGTGTGTACCCTTGTTCCACTCTGACACCTGGTGTTGAGGTCAGGAGTGTGTACCCTTGTTCCACTCTGACACCTGATGTTGCTGTCAGGAGCGTGTACCCTTGTTCCAATCTGACACCTGGTGTTGGTGTCAGGAGTGTGTACCTTTGTTCCATTCTGACACCTGGTGTTGGTGTCAGGAACGTGTACCTTTGTTCCACTCTGACACCTGGTGTTAAGGTCAGGAGTGTGTACCCTTGCTCCACTTTGACACCTGATGTTGGTGTCAGGAGTGTGTATACCCTTGCTCCATTCTGACACCTGGTGTTAAGGTCAGGAGTGTGTACCCTTGCTCCACTTTGACACCTGATGTTGGTGTCAGGAGTGTGTATACCCTTGCTCCATTCTGACACCTGGTGTTGAGGTCAGGAGTGTGTACCCTTGTTTCACTCTGAAACCTTGTGTTGAGGTCAGGAGTGTGTATCCTTGCTCCACTCTGACACCTGGTGTTGAGGTCAGGAGTGTGTACCCTTGTTCCACTCTGACACCTGGTGTGGGGGTCAGAGGAAACACAGACTGATAAAGTTGATACATATAATTTGCTACATAATCAGTACAAAATTAAGTATTTTATTGTATACAATATGTACTACAACAAACAATCAGCTGAAACTTCATTAAGATGGTGAAGGTTTGGCTCATGAAAAATAATAATGTTGACAGTGATGTAAAATCCCAAGTCCTAAAATACATATGGTTAATGATCTAACAGAAAATTGAATATTTGGTCCAAAATATCTATCATTCTTTGCTATAAGTTCCAACCTTTTAGAAAAAAAAGGTTTCACAAATAAATGGACCAATTAAATCCTATTATATGAATATTTTAAGATTTTATTTCATAAAACCTTGCGTATATATTAAGTACATATAAACACTATTGTGTGATTGTCACATAATTCTTACAGTCTATATCTGGGACATTCCTGTACTGTAGGAGTCTATTATAAATCTGGGACATTCATGTACTATAGGTGTCTATTATAAATCTGGGACATTCCTGTACTATAGGAGTCTATTATAAATCAGGGACATTCCTGTACTATAGGGATCTATTATAAATCTGTGACATTCCTGTACTGTAGGAGTCTATTATAAATCTGGGACATTCATGTACTATAGGTGTCTATTATAAATCCGGGACATTCCTGTACTATAGGTGTCTATTATAAATCTGGGACATTCCTGTACTATAGGAGTCTATTATAAATCTGAGACATTCCTGTACTATAGGAGTCTATTATAGATCTGGGACATTCCTGTACTGTAGGGATCTATTATAAATCTGGGACATTCCTGTACTATGGGAATCTATTATAAATCTGGGACATTCCTGTACTATAGGAGTCTATTATAAATCTGGGACATTCCTGTACTGTAGGGATCTATCATAAATCAGGACATTCCTGTACTGTAGGAATCTATCATAAATCAGGACATTCCTGTACTGTAGGAATCTATCATAAATCTGGGACATTCCTGTACTGTAGGAGTCTATTATAAATCTGGGACATTCCTGTACTGTAGGAGTCTATTATAAATCAGGGACATTCCTGTACTATAGGAGTCTATTATAAATCTGGGACATTCCTGTACTGTAGGAGTCTATTATAAATCTGGGACATTCCTGTACTGTAGGAGTCTATTATAAATCTGGGACATTCCTGTACTGTAGGAGTCTATTATAGATCTGGGACATTCCTGTACTGTAGGGATCTATTATAAATCTGGGACATTCCTGTACTATGGGAATCTATTATAAATCTGGGACATTCCTGTACTGTAGGAATCTATCATAAATCTGGGACATTCCTGTACTGTAGGAGTCTATTATAAATCAGGACATTCCTGTACTGTAGGAATCTATCATAAATCTGGGACATTCCTGTACTGTAGGGATCTATTATAAATCTGGGACATTCCTGTACTGTAGGAGTCTATTATAAATCTGGGACATTCCTGTACTATAGGAGTCTATTATAAATCAGGGACATTCCTGTACTATAGGAGTCTATTATAAATCAGGGACATTCTTGTACTGTAGGAGTCTATTATAAATCTGGGACATTCCTGTACTGTAGGAGTCTATTATAAATCTGGGACATTCCTGTACTGTAGGAGTCTATTATAAATCTGGGACATTCCTGTACTGTAGGGATCTATTATAAATCAGGACATTCCTGTACTGTAGGAGTCTATTATAAATCTGGGACATTCCTGTGCTATAGGAGTCTATTATGAATCAGGACATTCCTGTACTGTAGGAATCTATCATAAATCTGGGACATTCCTGTACTGTAGGGATCTATTATAAATCAGGACATTCCTGTACTGTAGGAATCTATCATAAATCTGGGACATTCCTGTACTGTAGGAGTCTATTATAAATCTGGGACATTCCTGTACTGTAGGAGTCTATTATAAATCAGGGACATTCCTATACTGTAGGGATCTATTATAAATCAGGGACATTCCTGTACTGTAGGAGTCTATTATAAATCTGGGACATTCCTGTACTGTAGGAGTCTATTATAAATCTGGGACATTCCTGTACTGTAGGAGTGTATTATAAATCTGGGACATTCCTGTACTGTAGGAGTCTATTATAAATCAGGGACATTCCTGTACTGTAGGAGTCTATTATAAATCAGGGACATTCTTGTACTGTAGGGATCTATTATAAATCTGTGACATTCTTGTACTGTAGGGATCTATTATAAATCTGGGACATTCCTGTACTGTAGGGATCTATTATAAATCTGGGACATTCATGTACTATAGGAGTCTATTATAAATCTGGGACATTCCTGTACTGTAGGAGTCTATTATAAATCTGGGACATTCCTGTACTGTAGGAGTCTATTATAAATCTGGGACATTCCTGTACTGTAGGGATCTATTATAAATCTGGGACATTCCTGTACTGTAGGAGTCTATTATAAATCAGGGACATTCTTGTACTGTAGGGATCTATTATAAATCTGTGACATTCCTGTACTGTAGGGATCTATTATAAATCTGGGACATTCCTGTACTGTAGGGATCTATTATAAATCTGGGACATTCCTGTACTGTAGGGATCTATTATAAATCTGTGACATTCCTGTACTGTAGGAGTCTATTATAAATATGTGACATTCATGTACTATAGGTGTCTATTATAAATCTGGGACATTCCTGTACTGTAGGAATCTATTACAAATCTGGGACATTCCTGTACTGTAGGAATCTATTATAAATCTGGGACATTCCTGTACTATAGGTGTCTATTATAAATCTGGGACATTCCTGTACTATAGGAGTCTATTATAAATCTAGGACATTCCTGTACTATAGGAATATATCATAACCTTTGATACTGATGACCTTTGACATTGATGATAATATAAATATTAATTAACAACGTGGCATCAGCTGGTATTAACTACAATAATCTCAAAACAAAAATCACAGACACTGGTTTTCAAAATATTAATATCTGGTAATCGTTCATTATGGCATGATGTTGTCATAGCGACACTGACTTTTTATAAAGTTTCTTTCTCTCAATTATGGAGCACAGCATATCGTGGAATAATGAATCAATCCCTTCACCAGTGGAGGCAGATGTCTCATAATAACCACTGAAAAACAAACATTTTTAGGATTATGTATTTTATCTTAAGTTTTCATGTAACTTCTTCTTCACAAATTTATAAATAAGGGGAGGTAACTCTCCTGTGGCTTAGAAACTCTACTTAACTTCTTTTATAAGCAAAAATGTTAACCTTGGTACAAGAGGCCCAGAGGGCCAGTATCGCTCATCTAGCTATTTAAGTCAATAATGCAAAACTTAACATTTCTTTAGAGGGAAAACATTTTCCTTATTGAGCTCCACCCCAACAGATAAAGCTTTAAATTCCCTTGGGGTGGGGACAGAGAACACTAGTTAATCTCTTGATGTCCAGAAATTCTATTAAGTTATGGGATGGAAATCTCACTGGCTCCAAAGATGTAATCTGTTCTGGGGTGGGACCAGACCCCAAGACAAATTATCAGTTATGATCATGTTTATCTCCTGATGCTCATCAATGCTTTAGTTATTCAGTGGGGATCACAGCTGTTTCAAAGAACCAAAGATCCAAATGAATTATTGATGGTGCAAAGCAATGATATGAAAATTTAATAAATCTATTTGGGGGTTAAGATTTTCCCTGTAGGGTACTGCCCATCTGGCCCCAGGGGGCAAAGACCCGCACTTCATACAAAACTGATTTCCCTTCAACCAAGCATGCTTCAGACCAATTTTGGTCAATATCTTACTATTCCCAAAGAACAAGATAGTAGATTTTAAAGAAATTGATAGATTCTCTCTATTGGGCCCCACCTCTCTTACACCAAGAGTCCAAGACTTGAGTTTTAGAGAAATTGATTTCCCTTCACCCAAGCATTGTTCAGACTAAATCTGGACAATATTCTGCAATTCCTGAAGAACAATGTAGATCATAAAGAAAATGATAGATTTTCCTTATTGGGCGCTGCTAATCTTACCCTAGGAGGCCTAGACCAACTGTTTATACAAAACTGATTTCCCTTTCCCAGACCCACTAAAAATTACACAAAATTGGTTCTACTTTCCCCAAGGATGCTTCCAGGGGTCGAAATTAACTTTTTTAGTCACTAGCAAACCATTGCTAGTGCCTAAAATTTCCACTAGCAAAAATGATGAACAAACTGGCAATTTTTCGTGAATAAGTTTGACTTTTATTTACTGTAATATTGAGTTTTTCAGGAACTGAGTGATAGTGGAAAAGATATCCAAGACATTGGATAAGAATGGCTGATTGCTACCTTTATCAATATTTTAAATCTATATAAACTTTGAATTTATCAGTTTTCTTTTTTTCATGTATGAGCTACATCTAATCTGACTGTCATATGATCAGATCCATTTATTAATGTAACTGTACCCAAATTTATATTATGTAACAAATTGTTCACATTAACGATCATTTCAATAAATTCTTATGAAGACAACTGTTTAACAGAGTTCTGGACTTTTAAATCATTATGAAGACAACTGTTTAACAGAGTTCTGGACTTTGTTGTATTTTATTTACCGATGTCATGCAATTCAGTTCTTTTAATTTCACCAAAGATCATTCCACTCCATTCCAAGTCAAATACACTACTGGCAGAAGGTGGGTCGTTTCTTTCTTTGTCCCTCAACCCACCACCTATTGACAGCTGCCGTATATGCAAGTGGTTGTGGCGGTGATTTTATATCAGAAGCGTCAGGAGAAACGCGCTCCGAGTTCGACAATTTTTTTTTTCAGAAGGGCCAGGCTGTGGCTGTTGACTATTGTCTTGGTCATCGCAAGCACTGTCAGATGCTTTCCTTTTTGAAAAAGTTCGTCTTTATAGCTGATATGTCGCGTTTCACATGATGAGCAGACAGAAATCGTAGAGTTTTCCAAGACAACTTTTTATTCAGTTTACACATAATTATCAAGGGAAAAACTGGAGGAATTCTGAATGTATTGATAATCTATGTCACTTTAGCGTTTGTAACCTATTTACTCATTTAAAGGCAGATGGAGAAAGGCATTTTGTGGCAGATGTTTCGTCAAAAATAGTGATTAGGTATAGTTCATTTCCACTCGCATAATTTTGCTAGTTCATTATTTTCCAGCTAGAAATTACCAGATTTTAGCTGGAATTTTGCTAGTTGTATACAGTTAATTTCGAACCCTGGCTTCAGACAAAATTTGATTAAAATCCTCTCGGTCGTTCATGAATAGCTTCAGTATATAGTTAAAGTTGACAGATGCCAGATGCCGGACGCTGGACGGACAATGAACACCACGGTATCCATATAACTCACTTGGCCCTTTGGGTCAGGTAAGGGTTAGGGGAGCTAATAAGGATGTATCAGCCAAAAAGATGCTTATAGTAACATCCCTAGAAAAAATTAATTTCATCCAATCTTATTGAATATTATTATGCCGAATAAGCAATGATCTATTGCAAGCCTGCCAACATCCAAAAATATTTTTGTCAGCGTAATTATCACATAACAAGATGCCCATTGGGACTGCATTGTTCATCTATTGTTCAACAGAGTGAGCCACTTTCATATTTTTCGAAATGACCTTACCAAGCTTCACTTTATAGAGAAGATATATATATGGCTGTGTACCTTATTTTGTACTCTGTGTAATATAATACTTTATCTAGTATTGTTCTCTGTGTAATATAATACTTTACCTAGTTTTGTACTCTGTAATATAATACTTTATCTAGTTTTGTACTCTGTAAATCTAGTTTTGTACTCTGTAATATAATATTTTATCTAGTTTTGTACTCTGTAAATCTAGTTTTGTACTCTGTAATATAATATTTTATCTAGTTTTGTACTCTGTAAATCTAGTTTTGTACTCTGTAATATAATATTTTATCTAGTTTTGTACTCTGTGTGATATAATACTTTATCTAGTATCATACTCTGTGTAATATAATATTTTATCTAGTTTTGTACTCTGTGTAGTATAATACTTTATCTAGTTTTGTACTCTGTGTACTCTGTAATATAATATTTTATCTAGTTTTGTACTCTGTAAATCTAGTTTTGTACTCTGTAATATAATATTTTATCTAGTTTTGTACTCTGTAAATCTAGTTTTGTACTCTGTAATATAATATTTTATCTAGTTTTGTACTCTGTGTAATATAATACTTTATATAGTTTTGTACTTTGTGTAATATAATACTTTATCTAGTTTTGTACTCTGTAAATCTAGTTTTGTACTCTGTAATATAATATTTTATCTAGTTTTGTACTCTGTAAATCTAGTTTTGTACTCTGTAATATAATATTTTATCTAGTTTTGTACTCTGTAAATCTAGTTTTGTACTCTGTAATATAATATTTTATCTAGTTTTGTACTCTGTGTGATATAATACTTTATCTAGTATCATACTCTGTGTAATATAATACTTGATCTAGTTTTGTACTCTGTGTAGTATAATACTTTATCTAGTTTTGTACTCTGTGTAGTATAATACTTTATCTAGTTTTGTACTCTGTGTAATATAATACTTTATATAGTTTTGTACTTTGTGTAGTGTAATACTTTATCTAGTTTTGTACTCTGTAATATAATACTTTATGTAGTATTGTACTCTGTATAATATAACATTTTATCTAGATTTGTACTCTGTGTAGTGTAATACTTTATGTAGTATTGTACTCTGTATAATATAACATTTTATCTAGATTTTTAATCTGTGTAGTGTAATACTTTATGTAGTATTGTACTCTGTATAATATAACATTTTATCTAGATTTGTACTCTGTGTAGTGTAATACTTTATGTAGTATTGTACTCTGTATAATATAACATTTTATCTAGATTTGTACTCTGTGTAGTGCAATACTTTATGTAGTATTGTACTCTGTATAATATAACATTTTATCTAGATTTGTACTCTGTGTAGTGTAATACTTTATGTAGTATTGTACTCTGTATAATATAACATTTTATCTAGATTTGTACTCTGTGTAGTGCAATACTTTATGTAGTATTGTACTCTGTATAATATAACATTTTATCTAGATTTGTACTCTGTGTAGTGTAATACTTTATGTAGTATTGTACTCTGTATAACATAACATTTTATCTAGATTTGTACTCTGTGTAGTGTAATACTTTATGTAGTATTGTACTCTGTATAATATAACATTTTATCTAGATTTGTACTCTGTGTAGTGTAATACTTTATGTAGTATTGTACTCTGTATAATATAACATTTTATCTAGATTTGTACTCTGTGTAGTGTAATACTTTATGTAGTATTGTACTCTGTATAATATAACATTTTATCTAGATTTGTACTCTGTGTAGTGTAATACTTTATGTAGTATTGTACTCTGTATAACATAACATTTTATCTAGATTTGTACTCTGTGTAGTGTAATACTTTATGTAGTATTGTACTCTGTATAATATAACATTTTATCTAGATTTGTACTCTGTGTAGTGTAATACTTTATGTAGTATTGTACTCTGTATAATATAACATTTTATCTAGATTTGTACTCTGTGTAGCATGATACTTTATCTATGATAATAATCTAGCATTATACTTACACCATTTTATTCTGTGTTGCCCATTTTTTTGCTTCATCCTTTTCAACTTGACGCTTGTTCTTAATATCAATCTTTCAAAAAAGGAAGAAAATAATGTATAGCATAGCGTTATACCCTGTGCCCTGCTGATTTAGACATACAATCATTATAATTATACACATGTTAATATTATGATAGGGGTATTAACTCCATTTCACCTTTATATTTTGATGTATGGTTTGACACCATTCAGAACTTATTTATATATATTAATATTTCAGTTGATGTTTTAGAGTATGGTTTGACACAATTTACAACTTATTTGTAAATTTATATAGAATTTATATATAATTAAGTTGTGAATGGTGTCAAATCATATGCAAAAACATCAAATGCTTATATATACTTGTATTTATATATACAAGGGTCATCTGCTATGGCAGAATGCACCATGACTGCTCACTTGTAAAATGTGTACAAAATCTCAGTTAGTTCTTCAACCATCTTGTTGCCATGCTCTGGAAACTGAAATTTGTAATTTTGCCAATCTGTTTCAAAATCTTTTTCTGTGGTAACAAGAAAATAAGAGAATGCTCCTCCATCACTAAAGGTACCAGTTGTCTTGAACAGTTTCAAAACTATGGTCCAGAAAATCTTAAATTTGTAATTTGAACTGTTTCCATGGTAACAAAAAAGAAAGAACTTAAATCAAGCACGTTTCCATTGTAAAAGGCACCACTGGAATACTGGCTTGATAACTGTACCAAGCTTTGAGTAATTATCTTGGAATACTTTCAGAGCCCTGGTCCAAAAAATGTCCTTGCACTGAAGAACACACAATTTAATATCCCTCACAAATGCATGTCTCAGGGTTGAAAAAATAAGATAATTATAAATATTAAATATCTAATTTGATTCCCTAAACAAAGCATGTGATGAAACGACCACAAGTATTTTTATCTCCTAAACAGATTATATCCCAAATAATATTGTCATAAGTTGTGTAGTTTATTGAGTTCAAGGTTTTTTTACAACAAATCATATTCTGTCTTTTCTCTGTAAAATTACCAAACCCTATTTCTGGTTAATGATATTTCAAACTCTGCTCTGTAATATTATCCTAAAACTTTTTTCCACCAATCATATTTCTGAATTCTTCTCTGTAATATTACCATACCTTATTTCCGACCAATCGTATTTCAGGACCAGATGTACTGTATTTGTTGACTTCCTTCATCCAGACATCCAATGCTTCAAATGAGGCTTGATTCGTGACATCATACACCATAAAGATAGCATCAGTCTGGAGGTAGAGTTCATTTCTAACATCAATATACTCTGGGCTGCCTGAGAGATCCCACAGGTGAACACGTACTGTCAAAATACATCACATTTTGTAAAAATATGGATATGTATATAACTGGAATATGTTATCATTATCCACTAACTTTCTACAAATATGGGAGCATCATAATTATTGAACAAACACAAAGGTTTGTAAAGAGGAAAGTAAAATTTATAGATTCCTCTTGGTCTTTGGATTGATCAAAATAAAAACAAAATGAGGTGGCCATCTTTGATTTTGAAAGTAAAAGTTTGTTATCAGTATTTCTTGAGAAGCACTGGATTGATCTTTATCAGTTTTTTTTTTTTTTTTTTTGTATGTTCCCCATGGTCTAAAAACTTTTGTTTTGGGACATAATGGAAAGATAAGAAAAGAAGAGAAATCCAATTGATAAAGACAAGTTGAAAGTTCATGAGTCCCTCTAGGATCTGTTGTTCCAAAAAAAAGTCAGAGACACAAAATAAAGACAGATATCTAGCTAACACTGACGTATGTTGAAGTGGAATCATTATGAGCTGTTTTAGAAAATGAAACAGCGCAGAGGCTGTATCAAAATAAATGACATAAAAAGATGGTACTTACAATCAACTCCGTCCACATGTTGGATCTTGAATCCATAATCAACACCAACTGTTGGCTGGTATCCACCACAAAACTAGAACATCAAATGTTGGAAAAGAAGCTCAAATTATGAAAACCAATCAAAGACTGTATATATGTTTTATATATCTTTGTACACAAGCGTTTCACAAGTAACTCCCCCTCTCTCCCCCTCACATACACAGAAAAAAGAAAGAAACAAAGAAACAACGAAACAAACAAAAATAAATTTTTTTAAAAAATCATAATTTCCATTTAGGAAACATGTCAGAGTAAAAAGTCTTACAGAAATAAAAAATGTCTTCGTTTATGTTTATTTATTTATATAACAAGCTTTGTCTATTCTACTGTGCATGCTGTCAATAAAAAACAAATATTGAGAAATAAATTCCAAACCAAAAATAAATCAAGGGAGATAATTCAATGTCCCAGAATAATCAATTGCTTACTTTCATGACAACTGATCAAATGGTATCAATTTTTAAATTATCTTTTAATGAAAAGGCACAGAAGTTACCTTTTCTGGCTCAATGTCTGGGACCTTGGAATTTTCAGATTCTAGCTCAATATGAAGGTGTTTGGATCTTACAAATTCAAGCTCAGTATCTGGGAACTTCGAATTCACAAATTCTGGCTCAACATCAGGTTGTTTGGAACTTACTAGTTCTAGATGAATGTCTGGTGGTTGGCGTTTTGCAGCACAATGGAATGAAATAACCTTAGTTTCTATATCTACAATAGATATGGGTGGCTTACTACTGGATAAAAAGGTACACAGATACATGTTGTATATACTTTGTATCTACTCATTGTTATACATAACTCACCTTACTCTCACAAAAGTGTTTAATCAGGCAAGTTTTCCCAACATTGGCATTTCCAATACCGACAACCTATCAATAAAAAAGAGAATTATATCTTAAAATGAGTAAAATACCATCTCTGTCACTGAGGTGATGAGTCGATATAGCTTATAGCGTTAAATACTGCCTTTGTCATTCAGCTGGTCCATGTCACACTTGTACGGTTACCATCACTCAGCTGTCAAAAAATACAGCTTCTTGAACTATGTTGGTACAGCCATATTTTATTGCGGTCGGGTACTGCTTGATTCCTGTAAGGTGCTTGGAAGAAATGTGTCTCCCATGTTCTTTCGCAAAAGGGGTTGATTCGCGTTCTACCAGTCACTATCGTGATTACGTTCCTCCGACAGCGAGAAAATTCAACCGACAATTCCCTGGTTATCTCCCTTTTATCATAACAGAATCTAGAATTGTTTTCTTCGCCATTCCGGTACTAAAGATGTTTTCACCTTCAGTATATAAAATAATAGTCAGAGGCTCGTAAGTTAATATATTTTTATTACAGTCAATCTACTAGATAACAGTAAAACAAACAGCTAAACAAGGTCACGGTAAGCCCGTACGGTAAAACGTATAGGCAAACTTACACATCTGAATTTCTGACAGCCTGATGTCCTTAAAACTATACACTACCTTGATCCACTTGAGATCTTTAACTGCGTCTTGTGGATTTTTTGTGAGGTAACCGGGTTTTCTGTCCATTCTAAATTAAAGATGCCGAATCACCGGATGAACAGGTGCGAGTAGTTCACATCATAAGGAAGCCGCCATCTTGTGGTTTCCTTCACTACGTAAACAAGTTTGAAATGCATTGTGGGATTGGGATTCCTGTTTATTTACTTTCGTTTTTAAAATTATAATTAACATTTCAATGAGAAAAAAATGCGTTTATATGTACAATTTCAAACTCCATTTTTCATTTCAACAAAAATGGGATCATGTTTTGAAATTAAATCTACATTGATATCTTACTAACACGTGTGGTATAGCTATTTTTAGAATACACGTCGACAAATGTAGAATTCCCCACGCGGATTCTGACGATTTACTGTGCTTTTTCCGATAGGTTGCGGAATGAATACAAATGGCTAACATTGTGGTTGCTTATATCTTGTGGCTGACTGGAGGCTGGCTAGGACTTCATCACTTCTATCTTGGACGAGACAAACAAGCATTCGTTTGGTGGGCAACATGGGGAGGTTGTTTAGGTCTAGGATGGTTTCGGGACTTGTGGAGGTTACCTGAATATGTTTATGAAGCAAACAATGATGAACGGTATTTAAACGAACTGAGATATCGCCTTGTGGTGTTCCCTCGCCCACCGTTCAATGTTGCACGATTTACCGGAGAACTTGTGGTTGGATATTTATTTGGTATTTTGCTTAGGCTGGTGATCCCTGAGGAGTACACGACAGAAGGTGTAGGCTGGGTGTTGGCAGTGATTCTACCTCCCTATGGAGTCGCCGTCGGTGAGTAACAAAGTTTGGCTGGAACTGGTACCATGTCACCAATGGCGTTCAAACGACCCTTCAAACTCTAGCTGACACTCAACCACGGACTAAAACTGATGCTAGTACGACAACAAGTACTCTCAACTTCTACACTTCCCCCTCCTTCACAAATTCATCAACCCCAAAGACAATAACAACCCAGGACTAGTATCTTCAAGGAAGCATCTCAATCTCCAATAGCTTCTACACTTTGAGTGGTCAACGGCACAAAACTGTAGTCATACAGCATAATGAAAAAAAAACATTGTCACTACTGGTGTTCAAACTAGTGAATATATAACAATGAAGGTGATACAGGGTCCTGTGTATCTCAGTATATAACACTGAAGATGATACAGGGTCCTGTGTATCTCAGTATATAACACTGAAGATGATACAGGGTCCTGTGTATCTGGTATATAACACTGAAGATGATACAGGGTCCTGTATATCTCAGTATATAAACACTGAAGATGATACAGGGTCCTGTGTATCTCAGTATATAACACTGAAGATGATACAGGGTCCTTTGTATCTGGTATATAACACTGAAGATGATACAGGGTCCTGTGTATCTCAGTATATAAACACTGAAGATGATACAGGGTCCAGTATATCTCAGTATATAAACACTGAAGATGATACAGGGTCCTGTGTATCTCGGTATATAAACACTGAAGATGATACAGGGTCCTGTATATCTCAGTATATAAACACTGAAGATGATACAGGGTCCTGTGTATCTCAGTATATAACACTGAAGATGATACAGGGGCCTGTGTATCTGGTATATAACACTGAAGATGATACAGGGGCCTGTGCATCTCAGTATATAACACTGAAGATGATACAGGGGCCTGTGTATCTCAGTATATAACACTGAAGATGATACAGGGGCCTGTGTATCTCAGTATATAACACTGAAGATGATACAGGGGCCTGTGTATCTCAGTATATAACACTGAAGATGATACAGGGGCCTGTGTATCTCAGTATATAAACACTGAAGATGATACAGGGTCCTGTATATCTCAGTATATAAACACTTAAGATGATACAGGGGCCTGTGTATCTCAGTATATAACACTGAAGATGATACAGGGGCCTGTGTATCTCAGTATATAACACTGAAGATGATACAGGGGCCTGTGTATCTCAGTATATAACACTGAAGATGATACAGGGGCCTGTGTATCTCAGTATATAACACTGAAGATGATACAGGGGCCTGTGTTTCTCAGTATATAAACACTGAAGATGATACAGGGGCCTGTGTATCTCAGTATATAAACACTGAAGATGATACAGGGTCCTGTGTATCTCAGTATATAAACACTGAAGATGATACAGGGGCCTGTGTATCTCAGTATATAACACTGAAGATGATACAGGGGCCTGTGTATCTGGTATATAACACTGAAGATGATACAGGGTCCTGTGTATCTGGTATATAACACTGAAGATGATACAGGGTCCTGTGTATCTCAGTATATAACACTGAATATGATTCAGGGTCCTGTGTATCTGGTATATAACACTGAAGATGATACAGGGGCCTGTGTATCTGGTATATAACACTGAAGATGATACAGGGTCCTGTGTATCTCAGTATATAACACTGAAGATGATACAGGGTCCTGTGTATCTCAGTATATAACACTGAAGATGATACAGGGTCCCTGGTATATAAACACTGAAGATGATACAGGGTCCTGTATATCTCAGTATATAAACACTGAAGATGATACAGGGTCCTGTGTATCTCAGTATATAACACTTAAGATGATACACGGTCCTGTGTATCTCAGTATATAAACACTGAAGATGATACAGGGTCCTGTGTATCTCAGTATATAAACACTGAAGATGATACAGGGGCCTGTGTATCTCAGTATATAAACACTGAAGATGATACAGGGTCCTGTGTATCTCAGTATATAAACACTGAAGATGATACAGGGACCTGTGTATCTCAGTATATAAACACTGAAGATGATACAGGGTCTTGTGTATCTCAGTATATAACACTGAAGATGATACAGGGTCCTATGTATCTCAGTATATGATACAGGGTTCTGTGTATCTCAGTATATAAACATTGAAGATGATACAGGGGCCTGTGTATCTCAGTATATAAACACTGAAGATGATACAGGGTCCTGTGTATCTCAGTATATAAACACTGAAGATGATACAGGGGCCTGTGTATCTCAGTATATAAACACTGAAGATGATACAGGGGCCTGTGTATCTCAGTATATAAACACTGAAGATGATACAGGGTCCTGTGTATCTCAGTATATGATACAGGGTCCTGTGTATCTCAGTATATAACACTGAAGATGATACAGGGTCCTGTGTATCTCAGTATATAACACTGAAGATGATACAGGGTCCTATGTATCTCAGTATATGATACAGGGTCCTGTGTATCTCAGTATATAAACACTGAAGATGATACAGGGTCCTGTGTATCTCAGTATATAACACTGAAGATGATACAGGGTCCTGTGTATCTCAGTATATAACACTGAAGATGATACAGGGGCCTATGTATCTTAGTATATAACACTGAAGATGATACAGGGTTCTGTGTATCTCAGTATATAAACATTGAAGATGATACAGGGGCCTGTGTATCTCAGTATTTAAACACTGAAGATGATACAGGGTCTTGTGTATCTCAGTATATAACACTGAAGATGATACAGGGTCCTATGTATCTCAGTATATGATACAGGGTCCTGTGTATCTCAGTATATAAACACTGAAGATGATACAGGGTCCTGTGTATCTCAGTATATAAACACTGAAGATGATACAGGGTCCTGTGTATCTCAGTATATAACACTGAAGATGATACAGGGGCCTATGTATCTTAGTATATAACACTGAAGATGATACAGGGGCCTGTGTATCTCAGTATATAACACTGAAGATGATACAGGGTCCTGTGTATCTCAGTATATAAACACTGAAGATGATACAGGGGCCTGTGTATCTCAGTATATAAACATTGAAGATGATACAGGGGCCTGTGTATCTCAGTATTTAAACACTGAAGATGATACAGGGTCTTGTGTATCTCAGTATATAACACTGAAGATGATACAGGGTCCTATGTATCTCAGTATATGATACAGGGTCCTGTGTATCTCAGTATATAAACACTGAAGATGATACAGGGGCCTGTGTATCTCAGTATATAAACACTGAAGATGATACAGGGGCCTGTGTATCTTAGTATATAACACTGAAGATGATACAGGGGCCTGTGTATCTCAGTATATAACACTGAAGATGATACAGGGTCCTGTGTATCTCAGTATATAAACACTGAAGATGATACAGGGGCCTGTGTATCTTAGTATACATTGAATTAGCTAGCATGTAAAATTTCATTTGTTCAAAGTGTTTTAATTTTTTCACAGGAGTACATCTGGTTGCCAACATTGGACGACAAAAGTCTACAATGTCTTCACCTCTGATTGGTGCCTTACTGGGGTTGCCATGGATACTGTATAGAACTGATAATATTATGCCTGGAGTACTTATAGCTGCAATTTTCGTCAACAAATTTGGAGTTCAGTGGGAAGCTGAGAGGAGAAACGGAGGGCATATTTGTAAAAGAGCACTTGTATTGACATTTTGCGGAATGATCTACATATCTATGTGGACCTCTGGAATTTATTTGAATTGTTCTGTCACAAATGAACATGGCGAAACCATACCTTTACGAGAGGCGATTCCAAACTTTTTTAAATCCCCTGCCTGGGAAAATATGAAGGAAACTATGAAGAGACTTTATGAGTATTACAAGCTTTACGGATGGGAGAAACTTCGGCAGCAGATTGTTGAGGCTATGGATCCTACAGGAGAAGCAAATGCATATAAAGTATGTACACCCACTGATAACCTGGGTCTTTCTCATTTTTTTCTGACTTCAGGACTTGCCCAAGTAAATCACCAACATGTCAGCATAATCATAATCCAAACTCTAATTGAATAAAACTAGGTAAAGGGTAAAGTTTGGACAAAGGAAATATTTACACACAGACTCCTTAAAAAGATTAAGACCAGGTGTTCTGAAAGAGTAAGTGTCTTCTGCTTCATTGACAATACCCGCCATGTAAACCTTGGTCAATCCAACTATGTAATGTCACATTTTCAAATGAGAATAAAGTATACAACAATGGAACCAACAAGCAAATTAATGAGCATCAAAAACATCCAGCTTTATATTGCATGAAGAAGTAGAATATTTTTCAATGAAATCACTACGACGACTGTAAAACTTCCCCGTCATTTTCATTAACATGCATCTATTGAAGCCCTTTGTTACAAGTTTGTCCGTTAATGAACACTTGTTGACACAATTTCTCACATTCAAATCATGGAAATGGGAATATATGTTATTACTTAGCATTGTAGCTAGTAGGTACATCATTAATATTTACATTTCTATAGAAATATACCTTGTAAATGAGCAGAGAAACACCTAGCGGGCAGAGAGAAAGCCTAAGTAGGCAGAGAAACACCTAGCGGGCAGAGAGAAAGCCAAAGCAGGCAGAGAAACACCTAGCGGGCAGAGAGAAAGCCTTAGTAGGCAGAGAAACACCTAGCGGGCAGAGAGAAAGCCTAAGTAGGCAGAGAAACCTGCAAGGGGGTGGCAGAGAGAAACCCTAAATAGGCGGAGAAACCCTTAGTAGGCAAAGAAACGTGCAGGGGGAAGGGAGAACGTCTAAGTAGGCGGAGAAACCGGCAGAAGGGCAGAGAGAAAGCCTTAGTAGGCGGAGAAAAACACAGGGGGCAGAGAGAAAGACTCAGAGAGCAGAGAGAAACCCTCAGGAGGCAGGGAAACCCTCATGGAGCAGTTGAACCCTCAAGGGGCATAGAGAAACCCTCATGGGTGCAGAGAAACACCCAGAGGGGCAGAGAAACACTCAGGGGGCAGAGTGTGTAATAAAATCTGAATTTAGAATAGTCATATGTGTGTGATACCACAGCTGATTGGCTGACTTGAGAGTAACTCAGAAAACATTAGATATCAGAAAATCTTTTTATATTTTTGAGGTTTGAAAACACATTGATGTGGTTTTGTTTGGTATTCTTGAACATTTTTAGCTCACTTGTCCCCAGGACGCATGGCTTTATCCCTCTGGCTCTAGCATCAGCTTTTCTTTGAATTACTTTAGAACAACTGAAAGGAACAGGTTATGGATGTATTTAAATCATTGACCTTGATTAAATTTCAAGGTCATGGGGGTCAAATGTATTAAAACTTTCAAAGGTCTGTTTCACAATAACCAAATGGCCAGATGTACTGATACTGTTCATGTAGAATGCTGGAATGAAGGGACACCAAGTTTGTTTAAATGATTGACCTTGACCAAATTTCAAGGAAACAGTGGTAACATATATCAAAAATGTTTAAAGGTCTTCTTTGCAATAATCAAATCGCCAGATGTACTGTTATTGGACTTGAAGCATACTGGGATTTAGGTATACCACAAATTATCTTGAAATACTTTCATGGTCACAGGAGTCAAATTTGATTTAACATGTTAACAACTTTTCAATAACAGAAAGGTCCAGGGTCATGGTATAAGTTTCATGCTAGGATGTAGGGCTACTTAGTTCGCACCTATGTGAAACTTACCACTTACTTCAGGGCCAAACATGCTTTAGGCTTCTTCTTTTCAATTACCCATTAGCTGGGCTTAACAGTGTTTGTATTGCAACATTTGAGGGTAATAGGATTTCAACTTTGCAATACTATAAGGAATGAAAAAGTCCTGATTTAAGCTGCAGAAGAGATGAGCAATTCAGGCCCATTGGCCCTCTTCACACACACACACTCTGGCCACCTAATTGTCTGTCCCACCTGCTATTTTCACAGTAATATTTAAAATGCTTTGTCCTTCCTCTTTTCTGTCTTCAAATCTGCTGAAACATTATCCATATGTACATTGTTTTCATTTGCAGGTGCTGGGTTTAAATGATACAGCCTGTCAGAAAGAAGTAACGAAACGATACAGAGAGCTCGCGAAGGAATGGCATCCAGATAAAGTCAAAGACCCGGACATGAAAATGTTAGCTCAAGAAAAGTTCATAGAAATCCAAAAAGCATATGATACCCTGTCTCAGATACAATCTCGCAGAAAATCAACGGAATCAGAATCGCGACAGAAAAGTGTTCATAATGATCATACGGAGTTTTGAAAATATTGTGGATCTGAAAGTATTTAAATGTTTTCTTTGTTTGTTTTATACTGACAAAAATCATCAAATACATTATTGTACTTGATAGTCCAGCATTTCTGATTTATTGAAAAAATCTACTTTTCATTAATAGTGAATGCAATTTTAACCGAACTTAATTTTTATTTTCGTTTCATTGTTTTCCTTACTGTTTTTTTTTATTTATTTCTACTTTATTTTTGTGCTATTTTCTTTAGATTCAACAATTGAATTTATATCATTATGTAAAATCATAATATTACTGAAACAGTTATTGCTATTTTTAGGGTTAGTGGGTGTTCCAAGGCTTAGATGGCCAAGGAACTCTACATTAATTGGTCAGGATATTTTCTAAAATTTCAATCAAAAAGATCATTCTACCCAGAATTCACCAGTAATATCAATCTATTTAATAAGTAATACTGTACCATATACTGTCAGATAGTATAGTCCAGTAAGATTTTATCGTCCTGATGTCAAAGTGCCATGATTCTATCTATTCAAATAATCAATCTCATCCCCTTTCTGTGTTCATTGAAATAACTATATGAAGCTTAATGTCAGATCTGGTGTGAAAACAGCTGGAATTAAATATTCCTTTTTATTTAAATTAAATGTCAAATGAATTTTGTATCTTGTGAAAAAATATAATTTAAGAAATGATTGATGGAATTGTACCAGATGTAAGTGTTAAAAAGTAAAAGGTTAATGTTTCAGGTCTGTTTGGCCTGTTTGTTTTTTACCATTGATTTTTGTTGCATAGTGTTTGTTATATGTGATGCTTCAGCTGTTTCCATGGTTACTTATCAATCTTAATTGTGATGATGTTCATATCACAAATAAACATATCATACAAGTATCTAAATTTTCAGTGTTTGGCATCTGTAAACAACAGAAAATTTTGTGATATAAGTTATTGTGCACATTTTTAACAGAGTGATCTCTCCTTAGGGTTTATCTGAGTTATCTCCCCATAGACTTTAACAGTGCTATCTCCTATTAAGATTTAAAAAGGTTATCTCCCTGAGGCTTCAAAAGGGTTATCTCACGTTAGGCTTTAATCACCTCCCATTGGGAATTAAAAGAGTTATCTCCCCTTAGGATTTAGTTATCTCTCACTGGGCGTTAACAGAGTTTTCTCCCCTTAGGCTATACAGGATACATCAAACCTGTTTATATTATCTCGGTTAAGAATATATGCCTTCAAACACTTCATATGTCTTTTTTATGTTTGTTATCTCCCTTACAGATATATGCTGTCTAACACTTTATAAATGTTGTTTTAGTTAGAGTTATCTCCCTTAAGGTTTTTGTTGTCTTACAGTTTTTACATGTTGTTGAACTTAGAGTTATCTCCCTTAATGATGTATGCTGTCAAACACATTTTATGTGTTATTTGGCTTAGAATTATCTCCCTTAGTTGTGCTTCCTGTTGAACACCTTTTACATGTTGTTTATGTTAGAGTTACCTTTGGTAAAAATGACTCATGGAATTTTGCTTCACCACTTACACAAGTAAAGTAACCATTTAATTTTATTTTAGAATGTGAAGAAAAATTATTGTCAAATCAACAGACATTGATGTAAACTAAATTACATACAATGATGTCTTTATTTATTTATTTATTTTTTTATTTTTTTAACCCAATTTTAGAGAAAATAAAAATCCTGCTTTTAAAATGACTCCCAGGTAGAACTGAAGAGTCGGCTGTATAATAAAGATGTTGTTTAAACACAATTTGTTGACATTCATGCTGGTATGAATGCATTCTCATCCCCTACAGCTGTCAAGTTCATCACTGTACCATACTGATAGAGTGAAAGGAAGGGAAGTAGGTCTTGTACATCAGGAAGGCATAGAGGAAAGAAAACCAGACTTATAGCTCATTATGTTAATATGGACCTAGATAAACCATATATATATTTAAAACTTTGTATCTTAGTTCACTGTATACACATGTAAATACTTAGATGGGAAACTTTTTAAGATCCATGTTTACAAATTTGAAATATTATTGACAGCAATCAAAATTGCTCTGATCAAATTGTGTCCTAAGAATTGTCTTTTTGTATAGTTTTATCATATAAAGGAATTTGATGTGAAATTATAATGTATTATTAAGGTATTTTTGTCGGTTTCTTTAATTTCAAGAGAAAATTACTAAAGACTTATTTTCATATATTTTTAGTACAAAGGAACTTAAAAAAAAACATATTTTGGTATAATTCTGATAAAAATCAATGAAAAACGTATTTTGGTGAATTTCTTGTAAAAATTATCGAAGACTTTATGATATTACTGGTCATTCATCTTAGTATAAAACCTTTTGATGAAGGATATTTTTTTACTTTAAATCTTTGTGCAATCACTTTGTGCTTACTGCTTCCCCAAAAGGCTTCTTAATCATTTATAATGAATATTTAGGCAAATTGTCACAAATGTAATCATGCAATCTCACATAGATCAATAATGCATCATTACAGTTTAGATTGAACATCTATATTGATGACAATTATTTTACATACTAAACTAAATGGGAGACATGTTCAAGGTCAAAAGGTTAAGTTATTTTATCAGTTAAGGCTTAACGGTCAAAGATTGAAACTTAAGAATGTCATTTGCTTTTCACTTTGATATAAATGTCAAGATTATGATATATTTTGAGGTCAAATGTCCTCCAAAATAGTAAAATATATCACATATATGTGTGTGCATGCACATCTGAGTTTGTGTGTGCGTGTGTGTGGGGTGGCGGTATATTATACATTTATCATGTTTTATCTGAATAACACCCTTTGTTTTAATCCTAATACCATCTTCAAATGTTCATTATTGCCACACATAAATTTATGGAAAAATATACCCAATTGTGAATTATAACAGTTAGTGACTTTCATACAGAGTATTGGACAGCTTGTTTTTATCCCTGTTCATGCCAGTATGAATACATGTTTATACAAACACTATTTTCTGTAAACTTATCACAATGATTAGAACTTTGCCATGAATATTTACATCACTTGTTTCATTTCATCACAAATTATTTATTAACATTAAAAAGTTTTTAAAAAATTTCTGTAGTATACCCATCAACCCTAGTTAAATTTCCCAATGACCCACGTACCTAATAACAATAACCTGGGTTGTTGGGTGACACAGTGGTCAAAAGGCACTCACTTATTATGACCGAGGTTTGATTCCCTGTTCAGACATGAAAAAGGTGGGGATCACCTGCCCGACCATGTGGGATTTCCCATGTTCTCCGATTCTCACACACAAATTTCGGCCAACATTAGTGATATTTTTAGGCTGATAATATTTTATAATTATTGTAGGATAAATCAAGTCTTTAAACAAATCATACAAGATGTTAGAAAGTCACGATAATTAGGACTTGTTCTGTTGCTATTCGTAAAAAATTCATCGTAATTTATTTTACAGAGTTTTCTCCAAACAGTAAAAATAATTATTTAGTGTAAGAAATATTGTTGATCTGAAAAATAAAATCAAATGCCTTTTTGAATGGTTTTTTTTTATCTTTTATATCTTGAAAGGGCAGTCGTAGTCGGTTGATGAAGCGGTGATATATGCAACCTCAGATGGACCATCCTCAATACTCTAGGGGCTACAATCACTTTCACTCTTTGCACTCTTAGAACGTGTCATGAAGGTTCCATGTTCATCACCTTTTGGACGAGATGAAAAGACTAGTTTGATACTTTGATGTACTTCAATGAATCGCAAGGTCAGGTAATATTATATCGTAATGGCTTTTTAGTTTGGTGTTGCTCCTTTGTAATCATCAAAAGCAGCCTGTGATTGGTCAGGTTTATCACTGGAACCAATCAAATTACTACACATGGGCCTTCAACTTTGCTACGACATGTTCCAGGGGTCCAAAGTGTGAAAATGATCACCATCCGTGGAGCATCAAGGATGCAGATGGACATCCAATAGTTTTTATTAATCAGGTGAAGATATGAGGTGTGGTTTGTCCGTGTCTACACATGGTAGTTTGTGTATATCAGGTGCAGATCTGAGGTGTGGTATGACCCTGTCTACACATGTTGGTTTGTGTAAATCAGCTGAAGATCTGAGGTGTGGTATGACCCTGTCTACACATGGTAGTTTGTGTATATCAGGTGAAGATCTGAGGTGTGGTATGACCCTGTCTACACATGGTGGTTTGTGTAAATCAGGTGAAGATCTGAGGTGTGGTATGACCCTGTCTACACATGTTGGTTTGTGTAAATCAGGTGAAGATATGTGGTGTGGTTTGTCCGTGTCTACACATGGTAGTTTGTGTAAATCAGGTGAAGATCTGAGGTGTGGTATGACCCTGTCTACACATGTTGGTTTGTGTAAATCAGGTGAAGATATGTGGTGTGGTATGACCCTGTCTACACATGTTGGTTTGTGTAAATCAGCTGAAGATATGAGGTGTGGTTTGTCCGTGTCTACACATGGTAGTTTGTGTATATCAGGTGAAGATCAGAGGTGTGGTATGACCCTGTCTACACATGGTGGTTTGCGTAAATCAGGTGAAGATATGTGGTGTGGTTTGTCCGTGTCTACACATGGTAGTTTGTGTATATCAGGTGAAGATCTGAGGTGTGGTATGACCCTGTCTACACATGGTGGTTTGTGTAAATCAGGTGAAGACAATTGTTGGTGTTGTGTGTTCAATTGTTGTGATGTATTCGTGGTAACTTGTTGATTTTCCACTGTAACTGTTGTGAGTTTTGATGATAATTGTTTTGATGATGTATCCATGGTAACTATATTGTGATGTATCTATGGTTACTGTTGTTGTGTTACCTTATTTCTGTGAGTGATGTTATCATGCTCATTGTACCAAAATTTACCTTATTTCGTTGTATCCTCATAGATATATAGACATCATCTTATTTACTTTAAACTTTTCACTAAAGCATTGCTGGATTCAAACATTACGGATAATAGATGTGTATGTACTTTATCAATTACCCTCGTTGAAAAGTCTTTTTCTACAAACACAAAAGACCCCCATTGAGAACACATGAACACAAACAAAACTGTATGCAGAAAATACAATTTAACAATAAAGAGATATCGGTCTGTCTAATTAAACATTGCACGGTAAAGTTAGTTTATACATACGTATTCACACAAACACACAGCAACAGTGTCCACCAACAGTGTCCGCCAACAGTGCTAAGGGGAGATAACTCGTGAGCACTTCTACAAATATGAATCGGTTTACCAATATAAATATATAACTATTTCAAATTCCTTGAATTCGAGTAGATAGCGTAAACGTTGAATTCTTGTTCTAGGTTACTTACAACGGGATAAATCATGACATTTAGTATGTATAACTCGATTTTTGTTTAAACGAAAAAGTGAATTTATATCGGTTTTCGCAGAGTCGTTTCCGGGAAACCGAAATACTTAAAATGGCAATAAACTGCGGGGAAGTACGGGATAAGGAAGGTCGCTTTCGGAAAGCAATTTCCTGTAGAAAACACGAATATTTTGTTGAAGAAAAAAAGTGACTGGCTATCTGATCATGTTGATAAGAAAATTCGCATCAGTAAAAATTTTTAAAAATATATAATAAAAACACAAAGTTCCTTCTACAGATCCGAGGTTGTGTGATTCGATCCCGTGGCAGGTAATATTTTATACAATAATTCAACATCATTATCTACTCATACATCACATCTGGGATGGGAAAACAAATTTCATGCTTATTGGTTTTAAAAAAGTAATGATAACCCTCCTGTGTCGATTGTACAGGTGCTCCCGAGTAGGACAATTTACCCCAATCGATGTAGACTGCATGCGACGGGCCTTCCGTATGTTGTCATTGAGGTAGCCACCAGCGACTATTAGGTCCACAACATAATTACCTTGGGAGATATCGATCAGTTATACTTGTATTTCGTTAGCTCATGAACTCAAACTGACATCTGATGCATACTTTTTTTCGTTAAATCGCCGTTTAATTGTTATTATAATTAATATGATTAGTACAGTGACTTCTGACTTTCCTTTTCCTCAAAAGCGTTCTTATGACGACATATCAACGTCAGCAGATTTTTGAAAAATATCACTGCGAGTATTTGAACCTTTTTTATTTCCCCGCACTTTTTTCCATCAGTATATTTGTTTACAAGCGAGAGCTCGTGTCCTGCTGTTGTTACAGTCGAACTATTTCGCTGACCACAGCGTTTCTCTCAAGATGCTGGACACTGACTGACCACTATGATTTATGTTCCTGATGACCTCGCAGATAATGACCCAACGACACCACGTGGAGCTATAAAGATCCCGTACTGTCCTCTGGTCAAGGGGCCACTAACGGGAACTTTCTGTAAGAAACAAAAACATTGACACTTTTTTACTAAAGCACAACGGTTTTAGTTCCGATAAATTTCACGAATAAAAATTCATCATGGGAAAGAATGACGGTAGCTGTTATATACATGGAACCTGAAAACTAGGTACAGTCGAGGACTTATCGTTTGATCCACAGGGACATGAAAACTAGGTACAGTCGAGAACTTATCGTTTGACTCACAGGGACATGAAAACTAGGTACAGTCGAGAACTTATCGTTTGACTCACAGGGACATGAAAACTAGGTACAGTCGAAGACTTATCGTTTGATCCACAGGGACATGAAAACTAGGTACAGTCGAGGACTTATCGTTTGATCCACAGGGACATGAAAACTAGGTACAGTCGAGGACTTATCGTTTGATCCACAGGGACATGAAAACTAGGTACAGTCGAGGACTTATCGTTTGATCCACAGGGACATGAAAACTAGGTACAGTCGAGGACTTAAATGTTCAAATGTTTATTACACTTTTGCCCTCACTTTAGATAATCAAATGGCGTCGTGCATTATCAGATGGCGTTGTGACATAACAATGGAGATCATGGAAATAGAGTGATCAATAACTTGACGTAGAAATGCCTGTTTTCTACCATATTTGCCTGAAAAATCAATCATATGAAGAAAAGAATTTTACACTCGTTTCCGTTTGATATATGATTTATAAAATTCGTCACAAATTCTTCATTTAACGCCAAAGGCTGGCTTAAGAGTCGTTAAGAAACTCATATAAGATCACATGTTTACGGGACATAGTTAATGAATATGCAAATTAGAGACTGATAGTCACTAAGATTATCTCAGGGTCTGACAAACATTGTACATATAATATTTATCTTAAAAATGTTTTGTATCAAAATTTGGACCGGACATTCCAGATCTCAACATCAATTAGTTGGAGTTTTCTCTCAGTTTTTCTCTCTTCTAAACAAATTTGTGATACAATTGTAGTTTTAAACAGAAAACTTTAACCATGTATTTTAACAGTCTAGAGTGTGAGAATACATTTACTCTGTGTGATATGACTCCCTTTAAGGGCCCCTTAAATGATAGATTTTCTTATCAGCGATATACATTCTTAATTCATTATACGGCCTTTAAAATCATTTCCTATGAATCGGAAAGTTATCTTCACAATTTCGAACACTTTGTTTTAATTAAGAAGTCATGTTGTTTAAAGTTGTTTGAAGTGAACACCATTCATTCTTGTTTGTTTGCGGGGTATCCAGCTGAGAGAAATCTGTTTCTGATTTTAAAAAAAAATCGACATCTTATTTTCTATGGGAGTATAGAAGTTTCGTAACAGTACCGATTTAAATAACAGTGGAAGACGGAGGTTCTCTTACAGCAAATGAAACCAGGGGCGATGATGATGATGATGATGATGATGATGATGATGATGATGATGATGATGCTAGTGGCGACGATGATAATGATGATGATGATGATGATGATGATGATGATGGTTGTGGTGATGATAATGATGATGTTGATGATGTATGTATGTATGTACGTACGACAGAAAAATACCCTGTTGTGAGCCCCATCTGCATATAGGTGCTATGTTACGTCATTTCCGCTTACATATCGCTGTTAGAAGGGAATTTATGATCGACACCTTACATAGGACCACACTTCTACTTATCATCCTCCGGTTCACTCTGGAGAGCGAAACTTGATACCAGGCCGTGATATAATAACACTGTTAGCTTTATATATAGACACACAACGTAGCAAGTCAGACTGACGTGGAGATGACATAGGGACGAAAATAAAGTAATCATTTTTCATCTCGCCTCGAAACTTGTAAATGATTAAGATTGGCTCTGTTCTTTTATTCATCACTTTTATCAAGAATCTCGCTGGGACATTTTCCATCAATTATTTTTAGTTGAGGCTCGGATCGACCAAATATAAAAAAATTATATATATCTTAAAAACATTTTAGATCGATAGCGTAAATGTCAGCTTGACCTGTTCTACGTAAGTGTTTTCATGTTTGGAATAGGCACTGAAACTGATACCGACGCTATACATCTCAACAGTTTTCTCGTGAATATTTTGATGTGTTTTTCAGATTGGTATAAATCACAAATGTTGTACATACAAAATCACCTCGGAGAGCATCTGTCATCCATCAAATAGGTGAACAAAGCATGATTTACTGAAATAGTTCAAAAGATTTTTTTTAAATACACTCAAATTTTAGATACACTTTTATAGTATTTTTTCTTATGGGTAGAATTTCAATAAATGTGTACTTCGTTGTTTGTTTCAGTATTTATTCCAATAATCTAAGTTGAAAAAAATATATTTACATACTACGAAAGCTAACTAGACGTTGAAAATGTTACAACGTATTCTTAAACTCTGACACCGAACACCCTTGACGCGCTCAGGGTCACTTCTAATGCTTGACCCTTGTGGTCACTTCAAAAGAAATGTCCATCATATTTGCCTGGTGGTTTTCTTGACCACTCAGTCGGGAGTCTACTTTATGGTCACGGGTTATGATCACGTGTACATTAAGATAAGTGTTTGCCATGAATAGATTATAATTTCAGATTTGTAAAGTGACTGTTGTTCTTTCTCTTAATTTTGATATTTCGAGAAAATAGAATTTGTTTCTGTTTTATTTATTTATGTATTATATATATATAGAATGTAAAGTGAAATTTTATAAAACGAGCCTTGGAAGGCTTTTTTATGATTTTAGTGAACAACCAATTTTTAGATTATTTATTCATCACATAACAATGCAAATTTCAATTTTAACATATTATAATCAAACAAAGGCAGCCATTTTGTTACGCAATTTTCAAGTCATGACGTGACGTCATTGTCCATTTTATGATTCACAATCGCCGATTTCTGAGTGCCGCAGTCAATGAATTTGACATGATTAACTGGATAACTCGCCGATTTCCGACAACAAGAAACCTATAGAGTCAGTGGTTTTCAGCATTCTCCCCCCCCCTCTCTCTCTCTCTCTCTCTCTCTGGTCTCTCTCTCCCTCGTTGATGAAGTGTTGGAGATTTTGGTTCTGAAGTTGGTATCTCTCTCCCTCGTTGATGAAGTTTTGGAGTTTTTGGTCCCGAAGTTGGTCTCTCTTTCCCTCGTTGATGAAGTGTTGGAGTTTTTGGTCCCGAAGTTGGTCTCTCTCTCCCTCGTTAATGAAGTTTTGGAGTTTTTGGTCCTGAAGTTGGTCTCTCTCTCTGTCCCTCGTTGATGAAGTGTTGGAGTTTTTGATCCCGAAGTTGGTCTCTCTCTCCCTCGTTGATGAAGTGTTGGAGTTTTTGGTCCTGAAGTTGGTCTCTCTCTCCCTCGTTGATGAAGTGTTGGAGTTTTTGGTCCTGAAGTTGGTCTCTCTCTCCCCCTCGTTGATGAAGTGTTGGAGTTTTTGGTCCCGAAGTTGGTCTCTCTCTCTCCCTCGTTGATGAAGTTTTGGAGTTTTTGGTCCCGAAGTTGGTCTTTCTTTCCCTCGTTGATGAAGTTTTGGAGTTTTTGGTCCTGAAGTTGGTCTCTCTCTCCCCCTCGTTGATGAAGCGTTGGAGTTTTTGGTCCCGAAGTTGGTCTCTATCTCTCCCTCGTTGATGAAGTGTTGGAGTTTTTGGTCCTGAAGTTGGTGTCTCTCTCCCTCGTTGATGAAGTGTTGGAGATTTTGGTCCTGAAGTTGGTCTCTCTCTCTCCCTCGTTGATGAAGTGTTGGAGTTTTTGGTCCCGAAGTTGGTGTCTCTCTCCCTCGTTGATGAAGTGTTGGAGTTTTTGGTCCTGAAGTTGGTCTCTCTCTCTCCCTCGTTGATGAAGTGTTGGAGATTTTGGTCCTGAAGTTGGTCTCTCTCTCTCTCCCTCGTTGATGAAGTGTAATCTAACAGCCACTTACACCTCCGGAATGTATGACATATTGGAGTTTTTGGTCCTGAAGTTGGTCTCTCTCTCTCCCTCGTTGATGAAGTGTTGGAGATTTTGGTCCTGAAGTTGGTCTCTCTCCCTCGTTGATGAAGTGTTGGAGTTTTTGGTCCTGAAGTTGGTCTCTCTCTCTCCCTCGTTGATGAAGTGTTGGAGATTTTGGTCCTGAAGTTGGTCTCTCTCCCTCGTTGATGAAGTGTTGGAGTTTTTGGTCCTGAAGTTGGTCTCTCTCTCTCCCTCGTTGATGAAGTGTTGGAGTTTTTGGTCCCGAAGTTGGTGTCTCTCTCCCTCGTTGATGAAGTGTTGGAGTTTTTGGTCCTGAAGTTGGTCTCTCTCCCTCGGTGATGAAGTGTTGGAGTTTTTGGTCCTGAAGTTGGTCTCTCTCTCTCTCCCTCGTTGATGAAGTGTTGGAGATTTTGGTCCTGAAGTTGGTCTCTCTCTCTCTCCCTCGTTGATGAAGTGTTGGAGTTTTTGGTCCCGAAGTTGGTGTCTCTCTCCCTCGTTGATGAAGTGTTGGAGATTTTGGTCCTGAAGTTGGTCTCTCTCTCTCTCCCTCGTTGATGAAGTGTTGGAGTTTTTGGTCCTGAAGTTGGTCTCTCTCTCTCTCCCTCGTTGATGAAGTGTTGGAGTTTTTGGTCCCGAAGTTGGTGTCTCTCTCCCTCGTTGATGAAGTGTTGGAGATTTTGGTCCTGAAGTTGGTCTCTCTCTCTCTCCCTCGTTGATGAAGTGTTGGAGTTTTTGGTCCTGAAGTTGGTCTCTAACGACCGTTCTTTGTTCAGGCTAGCTACATTGTTGGACTATCATTTAAGTGTACCGTGGTTTAGAAATTTAGATTTCCCGATATTAGATCCCAAAAATTTTGCTATCGTTATTTACCTTGTACATTTTCAACTAAATCTATCAAACTTTAAACGTCGCCTTTGACTGGCCTGGAGAGCCGTGTTATAATTTTACTAGTAAAGGAAAGATTTTACTGAATTTCTACGAATTTGTCAAGCTACCCAAGTTATATGGACCGCATAATTCAAAGATAGTGTATGTCTTTCAAATACACATTGGAGCATCATATATATCTCATTTAAAAACAAAAAAGACAGGAAAATATCCAGTTTAGAAAACAAAAAGTTCAATTATTTTCTCAAATGTGAGTTATGAAATATTCGGACAAGGTATACTTAAATTTCCCTTTGGTTTCGAACAGGAATGCGACAAAAAAATTAGGTCTAAGATAAATTATACTCAATTAATTTGAATAACAATTTAGTCTCCTGACCATATATGTGCTTTTAATAAAATTATATATATAATAAACATATATAGGTAAACACAGACTTAGATAGAAACGATCTGCTCGGTATTTCATAGATTACCTACTTACTCGTTCCCACACAGTATAATAAGTCGATCGGAGGGAGGTAATTATAAAAGCCATCATTTTATGAAGTATGTCGTTAAAAGGGGTTAGAGGGTAATTAAAGGGAAATGTCCGTGTTCTTTTTAATTATCTAGGAACACACTGTATTTACGTTGCCTGTCTGCGCAGTGTCATATAGTGCGATAACGTCTTCACATGTTAGAGGGGCGGTGCGAAGGTCGGGACGAACACAGGGGGTGTTTTTAACGTTTATTCGTAATCTAACAGCCACTTACACCTCCGGAATGTATGACATATATGTTTGTTGATAGTCGTGTTACATGATCACAATCGTGTTTACAGCTATTGATCTAGCATTCAGAAGGAAGTCTATCAACGATGAATACGGAGGTCAACTAGGCAAGTGATAAAATGTTAATTTTCATGGAGTCAAATGGATATCTGTATATTAAAAACTGTCTAAAACTATCCATGTTCCACACCCTCCTCCACATTTCCCCTCCACCTTCCCCAAGTCCCTTTTCAGTGCTCCACCATTAACCCTCTACCTTCTTCAAGCCCCGCTTCATTTCTGCACCGCCAACTAACTTTACAAAGTCTTTGACATCTATCTCCGCATTCTCCTGCACTCCACACCTCCATAACACCATAATTACACGTGCCTCTCCCATCCACCCTCCAATTTCCACCTCCATAACAACATAATTACACGTACCTCCCCCATCCACTTTCCACTCCACACCTCCATAACACCATAATTACACGTACCTCTGACATCCACCCTCCACTCCACACCTCCATAACACCATAATTACACATACCTCTGACATCCACCCTCCACTCCACACCTCCATCACACCATAAACACACGTACCTCTGACATCCACCCTCCACTCCACACCTCCATAACACCATAATTACACGTACCTCCCCAATCCACCCTCCACTTCCCACCTCAATAGCACCATAATTACACGTACCTCTGACATCCACTCCACACCTCCATCACACCATAATTACACGTATCTCTGACATCCACCCTCCACTCCACACGTCCATAACACCATAATTACACGTACCTCTGACATCCACCCTCCACTCCACACCTCCATAACACCATAATTACACGTACCTCTGACATCCACCCTCCACTCCACACCTCCATAACACCATAATTACACGTACCTCTGACATCCACCCTCCACTCCACACCTCCATAACACCATAATTACACGTACCTCTGACATCCACCCTCCACTCCACACCTCCATAACACCATAATTACACGTACCTCTGACATCCACCCTCCACTCCACACCTCCATAACACCATAATTACACGTATCTCTGGCATCCACCCTCCACTCCATACCTACATAACACCATAATTACACGTACCTCTGACATCCACTCCACACCTCCATAACACCATAATTACACGTACCTCTGACATCCACCCTCCACTCCACACCTCCATAACACCATAATTACACGTACCTCTGACATCCACCCTCCACTCCACACCTCCATAACACCATAATTACACGTACCTCTGACATCCACCCTCCATTCCACACCTCCATAACAGCATAATTACACGTACCTCTGGCATTCACCCTCCACTCCACACCTCCATAACACCATAATTACACGTACCTCTGACATCCACCCTCCACTCCACACCTCCATAACACCATAATTACACGTACCTCTGACATCCACCCTCCACACCTCCATAACACCATAATTACACGTATCTCTGACATCAACCCTCCACTCCACACCTCATAACACCATAATTACACATACCTCTGACATCCACCCTCCACACCTCCATAACACCATAATTACACGTACCTCTGACATCCACCCTCCACTCCACACCTCCATAACACCATAATTACACGTACCTCTGACATCCACCCTCCACTCCACACCTCCATAACACCATAATTACACGTACCTCTGACATCCACCCTCCACTCCACACCTCCATAACACCATAATTACACGTACCTCTGACATCCACTCCACACCTCATAACACCATAATTACACGTACCTCTGACATCCACCCTCCACACCTCCATAACACCATAATTACACGTACCTCTGACATCCACCCTCCACTCCACACCTCCATAACACCATAATTACACGTACCTCTGACATCCACACTCCACACCTCCATAACACCATAATTACACGTATCTCTGACATCCACCCTCCACTCCATACCTACATAACACCATAATTACACGTACCTCTGACATCCACCATCCACTCCACACCTCCATAACACCATAATTACACGTACCTCTGACATCCACCCTCCACTCCACACCTCCATAACACCATAATTACACGTATCTCTGACATCCACCCTCCACTCCACACCTCCATAAGACCATAATTACACGTACCTCTGACATCCACCCTCCTCTCCACACCTCCATAACACCATAATTACACGTACCTCTGCCATCCACCCTCCACTCCACACCTCCATAACACCATAATTACACGTACCTCTGACATCCACCCTCCACTCCACACCTCCATAACACCATAATTACACATACCTCTGACATCCACCCTCCACTCCACACCTCCATAACACCATAATTACACGTACCTCTGACATCCACCCTCCACTCCATACCTACATAACACCATAATTACACGTACCTCTGACATCCACTCCACACCTCATAACACCATAATTACACGTACCTCTGAGATCCACACTCCACACCTCCATAACACCATAATTACACGTACCTCTGACATCCACCCTCCACTCCACACCTCCATAACACCATAATTACACGTATCTCTGACATCCACCCTCCACTCCACACCTCCATAACACCATAATTACACGTACCTCTGACATCCACCCTCCACTCCACACCTCCATAACACCATAATTACACGTACCTCTGACATCCACCCTCCACTCCACACCTCCATAACACCATAATTACACGTACCTCTGAGATCCACACTCCACTCCACACCTCCATAACACCATAATTACACGTACCTCTGACATCCACCCTCCACTCCACACCTCCATAACACCATAATTACACGTACCTCTGACATCCACCCTCCACTCCACACCTCCATAACACCATAATTACACGTATCTCTGACATCCACCCTCCACTCCACACCTCCATAACACCATAATTACACGTACCTCTGACATCCACCCTCCACTCCACACCTCCATAACACCATAATTACACGTACCTCTGACATCCACCCTCCACACCTCCATAACACCATAATTACACGTACCTCTGACATCCACCCTCCACTCCACACCTCCATAACACCATAATTACACGTACCTCTGACATCCACCCTCCACACCTCCATAACACCATAATTACACGTACCTCTGACATCCATCCACACCTCCACTCCATCCTCCATCCTCATAACACCATAATTACACGTATCTCTGACATCCACCCTCCACACCTCATAACACCATAATTACACGTATCTCTGACATCCACCATCCACTCCACATCTCCATAACACCATAATTACACGTATCTCTGACATCCACACTCCACACCTCCATAACACCATAATTACACGTACCTCTGACATCCACTCTCCACTCCACACCCCCATAAAACCATAATCAAACGTACCTCCCCAATCCACCCTCCACTTCCCACCTCAATAGCACCATAATTACACGTACCTCTGACATCCACCCTCCAATCCATACCTACATAACACCATAATTACACGTACCTCTGACATCCACCCTCCACTCCACACCTCCATAACACCATAATTACACGTACCTCTGACATCCACCCTCCACTCCACACCTCCATAACACCATAATTACACGGACCTCCACCCTCCACACCTCCATAACACCATAATTACACGTACCTCTGACATCCACCCTCCACTCCACACCTCCATAACACCATAATTACACGTACCTCTGACATCCACCCTCCACTCCACACCTCCATAACACCATAATTACACGTACCTCTGACATCCACCCTCCACTCCACACCTCCATAACACCATAATTACACGTATCTCTGACATCCACACTCCACACCTCCATAACACCATAATTACACGTACCTCTGACATCCACCCTCCACTCCACACCTCCATAACACCATAATTACACGTACCTCTGACATCCACCCTCCACTCCACACCTCCATAACACCATAATTACACGTACCTCTGACATCCACCCTCCACACCTCCATAACACCATAATTAAACGTACCTCCCCCATCCACCCTCCACTCAACACCTCCATAACACCATAATTACACGTACCTCTGACATTGGCCCTCCACTCCACACTTACATAACACCATAATTACACGTACCTCTGACATCCACCCTCCACTCCACACCTCCATAACACCATAATTACACGTACCTCTGACATCCACCCTCCACTCCACACCTCCATAACACCATAATTACACGTATCTCTGCCATCCTACCTCCACTCCCCACCTCCATAACACCATAATTACACGTACCTCTGACATCCACCCTCCACTCCACACCTCCATAACACCATAATTACACGTACCTCTGACATCCACCCTCCACACCTCATAACACCATAATTACACGTACCTCTGACATCCACCCTCCACTCCACACCTCCATCACACCATAATTAAACGTACCTCTGACATCCACTCCACACCTCATAACACCATAATTACACGTACCTCTGACATCCACCCTCCACTCCACACCTCCATAACACCATAATTACACGTACCTCTGACATCCACCCTCCACTCCACACCTCCATAACACCATAATTACACGTACCTCTGACATCCACCCTCCACTCCACACCTCCATAACACCATAATTACACGTACCTCTGACATCCACCCTCCACACCTCATAACACCATAATTACACGTACCTCTGACATCCACCCTCCACACCTCCATAACACCATAATTACACGTACCTCTGACATCCACCCTCCACTCCACACCTCCATAACACCATAATTACACGTACCTCTGACATCCACCCTCCACACCTCCACACCTACACATAACACCATAATTACACGTACCTCTGACATCCACCCTCCCACATAACACCATAATTACACGTACCTCCATAACACCATAATTACACGTACCTCTGACATCCACCCTCCACTCCATACCTCCATAACACCATAATTACACGTACCTCTGACATCCACCCTCCACACCTCCATAACACCATAATTACACGTACCTCTGACATCCACCCTCCACACCTCCATAACACCATAATTACACGTACCTCTGACATCCACACTCCACACCTCCATAACACCATAATTACACGTACCTCTGACATCCACCCTCCACTCCATACCTACATAACACCATAATTACACGTACCTCTGACATCCACCATCCACTCCACACCTCCATAACACCATAATTACACGTACCTCTGACATCCACCCTCCACTCCACACCTCCATAACACCATAATTACACGTACCTCTGACATCCACTCCACACCTCATAACACCATATTTACACGTATCTCTGACATCCACCCTCCACACCTCATAACACCATAATTACACGTACCTCTGACATCCACCCTCCACACCTCCATAACACCATAATTACACGTACCTCTGACATCCACCCTCCA